CAAAGATATTTGAGAGAATTAGGAGAAACGTGGTGTATCCCATTATGTTCTTGAAATACGGAAACATTGTTGGAACTAATTTTTCTTTCTACAGGTCTTTCGACTAGTTTCTATGTGGTTTAATCTCTCCGCCCAGAAAAATGTGATTGATAACATGTTGAGCACCATCAGTAAGGTACTTGACTGATGGGGTCAGATTTTATCTGTTATAGAGGAGGAAGTCTTTATTATCTCTCCAATTTTCTTGCTTAATTAACCAATCTTCATCTCCTTAAACGTTCTTGCAGGTTCAGTCTTACAAATTTGTACCACTTGTTTATCAAATTGCTTCAAGGTTGGGCAGTTCTAGAGATGAATCAGGATCTAACAGCTTTCAGGTGGAATGCATTTTAACTTGGTTGTCATTGAAAGTTAAAAAACTTAAGACCAGAATGGTGTGTAGCTAATTTCTAAGATTTACCACTTGCAGTCCGCTCTGGTTTCACTTGTCAGAAAAATGGCCATCGATCATCCATACCATACTATCTTACAGGTTCTGAAGAACATGTTCTCCGTCTTCTTTATTCTTTATGTTTTGTTTGTTCCTGTTTGCTAAGATTCCTATGACATCTCGAATCTGTTCAAGTATGGTGAACACAATAAAGTCTGTTGTGTTGTGTAGCGTGCCATGGAAATTACATTATTCGCAAGTGAATTTGTCTATCTCTTTTGAAGATACGTTTCTAAATGCTGTATTTTTATTTTTATTTTGTTCTAGCTTCTGGCTTTGGCAAACGGTGACCGAATCAAGGATAACCAACGTAGTAGAAATTCTTTCGTGGTTGATACGGATAAAAAGCTTGCAGCAGAGCATCTCTTGCAGGATGTATCACATTATCATGGGCCTATGATTACACAAGTAAACCTTATTTTCATCTAGTATGCATTATAGACTATTTTGCCTGGTTACTTATCAGCAAATCCTGATTTTTATTTTTCAGATGAAACAACTGGTAGATATCTACATCAAGCTTGCAGAGCTTGAAACGAGGAGAGAGGTCTGATAATTCTTTGAGAATAGAGGAAGTGTTTTGTTATGCCGTTTCCTGAACCCAATTAACATTTGCGGAACTCTTTCTTTTGCAGGATACCAATAAAAGGGTAGCACTACCAAGAGAGATTCGTAGTGTGAAACAGTTGGAACTTGTAAGCACGCCCCTTAATTATTTATTTTCATTCTTATCATTTGTATGGAATTTCAGACTTTAAATTTTGACATCAAGATAATAAATTTCTTGGAAATTAAGAAACATTCGGTGGGTCATTTTGATAGGCTGTACATACAATTGAAAATTTAAAGCAAGCTATAGATTTTTCAATAATTGTTTAGCAATGTTGTCCTATTTGTTGGTCTGATCCGAATTTGTTTTTTTCCCATTTTTACTGTTTTGCGTCTGTTGAAACTCCTAACAAGATCAATTCTTTGCTGAAGAATAGTGGCGATATCGTTTTCTCTTTGTCCATTTTCCATTTTCCTTCTTGGTTCAGATATTGAATTCCGCTTTTTCTCTATGCTTCTAACATATCTGTCAAACTTGTATTGTTTTCGCTGTATTTGAGTTTAGGTACCTGTAGTGACAGCTACAATTCCTGTTGATCGTAGCTGCCAATACAATGAAGGGTCGTTCCCTTTTTTCAGAGGTTTATCAGATTCTGTTACGTAAGTCCCTACTCAATCAATATAACAAGTTCCTTTGAGATTTATAGTTTCAAATAGTACCTTAAATGAAACCACGCCTTTGGATATGCAGAGTGATGAATGGTATGAATGATATTAACAAGTTCCTTTGAGATTTATAGTTTAAAATAATACCTTAAATGAAACCACGCCTTTGGATATGCAGAGTGATGAATGGTATTAATGCTCCAAAAGTAGTTGAATGCTTTGGCTCTGATGGCCGGAAATATAAACAACTTGCAAAATCCGGCAATGATGACCTCAGACAAGATGCTGTAAGAGTTTCGGGATCTTTTTAACTTACTTGCAATGTCTGTGATGTGGCACTGCTCCATCTACTGGCAGAAATTTTTTAACCCGCTGACCTAGTCAAGCTTTACATATACTATGGTTTAGTTATGCAAAGTGTGTACCTTTTGTTTGCAGGTTATGGAACAATTTTTTGGGCTCGTCAATACCTTTTTACACAATAACCGGGACACATGGAAGAGAAGATTAGCTGTACGCACATACAAGGTATGTCTCTCTAATCTATCTACAAGAGCTTGTCCGTAACTTTAAAGAAAATTTGATCCATTCAGTAAGTTCAAATACTTTTATAACTATATATATATATATATATATTGTATATACATATTCTCAGGTTATTCCATTTACTCCAAGCGCTGGTGTTCTTGAGTGGGTTGATGGCACAATTCCACTTGGAGATTATCTTATAGGAAGGTTGGTCTAGTAAATTAGTATTTCTAGATACATGGTACAACAATTACTCTTCCAAGTCGTGACTGTTTGAATATCAAATCACAGCTCAAGGAGTGAGGGCGCTCATGGTCGTTATGGCATTGGAAACTGGAAATATCCTAAATGCCGAGAACATATGTCGAGTGTAAGCGCATTTCATTTCTCAGATCTTCTTAGTTGGCCTTCATTTACATCTGGTAGTTTTTCTCAAATAATCTGGGGTGACTGGTGGCTTGTAGGCAAAGGACAAGCGCAAAGCCTTCATGGATGTCTGCACAAACTTCAGGTTTCTTTCTTTGTAAACCGTGTTTACTCCGTTAGTACTAGTTGGTAGCTGACAAATCCATCCCCTTTTGCAGGCCTGTCATGCATTACTTTTTCTTGGAAAAATTCCTGCAGCCTGCTGACTGGTTTGTGAAGAGGCTTGCATATACGCGTAGTGTTGCAGCTACTTCAATGGCAAGTGTATCCATATTTGATGATATTTATTCTCTCGTTCAGTCTATAATGGATGGGTAGTTTAGCATATATAACCGAAAAAATCATTCATACCCTTCTAAATGGCATGAAATAAGCTATCAGAGAAAGTGGAATACATTTTCTTAAATGCCCATATGTAAACAAAAGAGAGCTGCCACTTTTTCAATCTCAAGTGTTCAGTGAAGAAGGGTGTTGGATCCTATTTCAACTCTTCTTCTTCTTTTTTTTCTTTTGTGTTGATATACAGTAAAAGGACATGGTAGTATACTTAGTTGAGGCACCTGAAATAGATTTATATAAATTTTCCTTCTTATACATCTCCTTTTGAACATTTGGGATTTGTTTTGATATCAGGTTGGGTACATCGTTGGTCTTGGTGACCGTCATGCCATGAATATTTTAATCGATCAAGCCACAGCAGAAGTTATCCACATAGATCTAGGAGTTGCCTTTGAACAAGGATTAATGCTCAAGACTCCTGAACGGGTAGTGTTCCTTTCCATCTGCTCTCTTTACATATTTAATTGGCATCTGCACGATTCTCATTTGTTCAGTTTCTTCCTGATTTGGCAGGTACCTTTCAGGCTGACACGGGACATAATTGATGGAATGGGTATCACAGGAGTGGAAGGCGTTTTCAGGAGATGTTGTGAAGAAACCCTGTCTGTGATGCGAACAAATAAGGAGGCGCTGCTTACAATTGTTGAGGTAACCCGATCTTAAAGTTTAATTTTGGATGTTCAAAGTATAAAAACATATTTTGAATGCTCAAATCAAGGTCATTTGTTTTGAAGGTTTTTATACATGATCCTCTGTACAAATGGGCCTTGTCCCCCTTGAAGGCTTTGCAAAGACAGAAGGTACTTCGTGCCGCAGAAAATTGTTGTGTTCCACTTCATTGTCTTGTCCTGTCAATATTAGTATATATTTTTGTACTTGTTTGTCGAGTTTCTCACAGAAAGGTGTGTTTGATCCAGGAAACTGAAGATTATGATGGCATGAACTTGGAAGGATTACAAGAGGAATTCGAAGGAAACAAGGATGCTGCACGTGCCTTGATGCGTGTCAAGCAAAAACTTGATGGCTATGAGGGTGGTGAGATGAGAAGCATTCATGGCCAGGTAAGGTTTTTTTGACATTCTTTTTTATCAAAAGTTAAAACAAAGTTGTTCTTGGTTTCACAAGTTAACTGAGTGTATTTGTTCAAAACACTTGTTGCTTTGTAGGCACAGCAACTAATACAAGATGCAATTGACACAGATCGTTTATCCCATATGTTCCCTGGCTGGGGAGCCTGGATGTAACCAACAACCTTCTTCTACATTTTTCTCCAATTTTTGGTCTGTAGATAGTGAAGACATCTAATCTTTATGTAAAGTTCAAAAATGCTTGGCTGCCAAATTTTGTATAACGCGCAGGAGTGTAAGGGGAGCATTCTTATTTGTTTATTTTATCGTTCGTGTAGCTTGAAATTTTAGAACTTATATTCCTCAAAGTACACCTCCAAACATGAATGTAAGAATTCCAAATCCAAATTCCAAAAAAATATATATATATCAAACACACAATCAAAGCCACCAAGAAAACTGCAGGAAAGAAAAGCTTTACGAACTATCATAAACTCAGGAGGGTTTTAAGGTTGAAGTAAACTTTTTCACCAATACTTTCACCATAAGCTTTGGAACTAGAAACAAGAGGATGAAGAACAAGATCTGATAAACTGGGCAGATTGGGCATAAATTTTAAGATTGTTTAGGACCTCAATATTTTGTCAAAACCAGAGCAAAAACAGCATATTTTGCAGGATTGCTCAACAATCATGATGTAGATTCAGATGAACAATATACTGAAAATCTGAACATAAAACCCAAATTTTGGTTTTCTCAATTGTTTTTTTGTCCAAAACTCCACTGGCAGAGGCATAAACCAGAATTCCTTTGGTACCTTACTCAGAAAGTGTGATAATTCATTACTGTGCAGTGTCCCATGTCCCCGAAGGGACAATTTATTAATAGACTCCAGTGATATATAAACATTTGATTCATTTCTATGATTACTCGATATTACTTTTGCTCAAATTGTGTAGAATACATTCACTAGACAGATATTTTTGTTATCTTGAGAAGCAACGAAAATTGGTTGCAAATTAAGCTGAGGCTTACATTACAAAAGGCAAGGTTTACACAAACACATACATACAAAAAGAATCAGACCTATAGATCATTTGTTGGAAGTGAACTCATCAGAATAGTGTTTTCTTTGTCTTTCGTTGTCTTTCCAAATAAACCAGAGAGGAATCGTAGAGGCAAGACCGACGAAGAATCTGATTTCTTCTCCGACACTTGCAGGCTCTTGTTCGGCTTTAGTTGTGCTCCGCAATGGCAGTTTGACAGTCTTGAGAAGCATCCCTTGTGGAAAACCGAACCGCACGACCGGCATTTGTTAACCTCATCTTCCTGCTAATCATTTTATTTCATTATATTTTAGGATCACACAACATCTGAGTCATAAGGCTATACAGACACTGAACATCCGTCAAGGCTATGATATGGTGATCAAAAGTCAAAAACTGAGAACAGGAGAATATGTGTATTAAAGTCATAGCAAGCAATATATGCTCACCTGGAATGGAAATATCAAAGAAGATGTGTCGTCACAAGCTTGTCGGGCATTACAGGGAACCCCCACATCGCAACAAACAAGACACTGTTCTGTAATATGCTCCAGGATTTTCCTCCTAACGGTCTCCACGATTGCAGGAAGTGCTGCCATTCAAGGTTAATGTCTTTATATCTCTTGAATAAAAGTTACAATGCAATGAAATAGATAAAACTATTAAAACATCAAACAAGTGGCAGCATGGAGTTGACTTGTAAAATAAATTGCTAGAGAAATAGGGAATCTGAATCTAACTTCATTAGCTTTGTCAGCATGAGCGAACATAAGGGGATTCTGTATGCTCAGCATGCGCGCAGACATAGATGATCTTTAAATCTTTGGGTCAAAAGAAAAGAAATTTACCTGCAAATGGCCCTTTAGAAAGATCAATTAGATCTCTCAAAGCAAAAAAATCAGTGCTCTCAAGAAGGTATCTCCGAGTACTGATTCCTTTGTTGAGTGTCTTGCGGAATGGGCAGTGTACATATGGAAGCATAATGGTTATTCTTTTACGGATGCTCATAATATGATTGAGTGCAGGGACCTTCGAGGACAGAAAAGGATTGACCGCACTGACACAAAGCATAGGCTGCAAAATAAGATTTTTCACAGACGTCAACATTATCTTCAAATAAGTATATGAGGTTATATGTAAAGCTTCGAACACTGTTGGCTCAAAGAAGCTAAAAAGGGGACAAAAGTAACCCAGGCCTGCCTTCATACAGGTTTAAATGAATATGCTTGAGCTGATTCTGTAAGGATACACAGGTATCAACTCTATGTGTGTACTAAATGCATATATCAAGCTGAAGGCAAGTTGCACAAGAAAGTATTCTCCTCTGAACTCAGTTCGGGCAAGAGGGAAAAAAAATCCATTTTTAAATTCGAATAGATATTTCAAAGGTAATCAGTGTCCAGAAGAATACCAATAAATTGTACCAAATATCACTAGACCTAAATTACCTGCTCATGTATAGAGTCCAGATATGATTTTGCCAATTGAGAAACGGGATAACGATTAAAATCCCAATGATGTAACACTCTTGCTGGCAGGACGGCCATTTCATTTGTATGGCAAGAAGAACAAAACAATTGACCAGTATATTCGCAAAGCCGAGGCTTACCCCATCCAAGAGCTTTCACAAAGTCCCGCACGAGAGTGGCTCCATCATCAAAGTATATGTGGCATCCAGCGCATATGTAATGCTGAGCTTCTAGCAACTGCTTTACTGATTTGTGAGGTCGAAAATCAACAATGAGCGAGATGGTATTTCCATAGGAAGAACCTGCAGCAACAGCGATACCAGCAGGGCCTGTTGGAGACATTATAGAATCTGACCCAGAAGAACTTGCATCTTGAGGGGACAAAAACCGAAGTAGAGCATTTGGAAGTGCAGGGAAAAATCGAGACTGAAGAACTGAATTCAAACAATCTTGAATAAGGACAGTCCTTTCAGCAACGGCACTAGGCGATGTTCCAAATATTTTCCTGGATTCTCTTTCCACAGAGGCCCAAGGTGTAGGAAGCGTCCAGCCTTGATCAGCAAATAAAGATGTCAATCGCCGGTAGAGACTATAAAAATCACGATATCTTCTTTCAATTTCCCACTTGTCCTTCCCACTCCAAACCCTTATGACATACACTGTGTATTCCTTCACCCCAACCAGTCTCTCACTCAGCGAGACATCACCTTTCCTTTGTTTTACCCCGACAACTTCAACTCTATCAATTCTAAATCGCTGGGAAACTATTGGAGATGAATCATCTAGACCAGAAGTTGTAGCAGTTTGTCCCCCATCCCTGTTAGGCAGAGAGAGCTGTAGCTGGAACATCTTGTCACTCTTAGAATACCTTGCCCCAGATGATTCACCAGAGTCGAGCAGTATTTCTTCCATATCATGAACAAAATCATCATACAAGTCGTTTAGTTCTGTGTTCTCCTTCTGCAAGATCAGTAATCCGGATACAAGAAAACTTCATTCAAATAATAAAAGAATCAAATCAAAAGGAGATACAGTAGGTTCCATGGCGTTTAAAGATTTCTAGGGACTTTCTTAAATGAACAATTAACTTAAAATGGGCAGTGAAACAGCCGCAGTAAAACGACATCCAGTTAAACCCTCAGATTCACACTGTTTAAATGTGAGAGGAGGATAATTAATTGATATGCATTAACGTAGAAACAGATCATGAAAACCCAACAGACTAATCCAGGGACATATTCAACCAATAGAACACAAAGATAAAGAAATAAACTGACAATCAAAGAAAAAGTGTAAAAAATGTTGTATATACGAAGCAGCTGACCTTCGGTTGGATGTTAGAGACTTGTAAGGCATTTATTACAGGATGAGAATCTGTAGATGATGGCTTATCAGAGTTCCAAGGTGCCAACAACGGTTCTGAGGTGGACTCTCCAAATGGATCTGGCTGTTTTGAATTCTCAGAAGATTTATGAAGTAGTCCAAGAGAAACATCTCCATCTAAGTCGCAAACCTCACTTGAAGAATATACGTTTCCTAACTCAACTGGTGTAATATCTAGGACATCGTCAGCGCTACAAGATTGAAGGTACTTCATGACTACAGGTCTATCTTCAGTTTGATTGATGCTAGCACAACTGTCTCGAAGAGATTCATCTGTAACCAGTGATTGAGGAACCGCCAAGGTTTTGACTTCAGCACTCAGGTCTTCAGAAACTCTGACAGTTATGCTGTGTCTTGCCATGTCACCTGGCTCCCTTTGGGTCAAGACAGACAAATTTCGAGATCTTAGTATATCTTCACTATTTTCAGGAGATTCACCTACATTTGTAGCATGTTCTAGCCCTTTTCCTGATTGAGCTACATCTGGAAGCTTTTGCAAAGCTGCAGAGAATGATTTTGTGGATATCACTTCACTTTCAGTACACCCTTTATCACGCTCCTCAAATCCGCTTAAGTTAAAACGAGCGTCACCAAGTTCAGTGGCTTCAAGCTCAAACTCATCCCAATCATTTGTACCAAAGGCAGTGGAAGAATTGATGAGAAAAGGATTATCTTTCTCAGCTTTAGACTCCTCTCCATACTGCAAATTCCGTGGAATATATAATTTTTTACGAGAATGATCACCTGTATCAGTAAGTGAGTCATCACCATCAGAATGCTCATCATCTATTGAACCACTTTTATGAAGCTCATCGTCATCCACATCACTCAACTGATTCATGGAATCCATTTCATCTTTAGCTTCATCACAAACCTTAGTACCCATCAAATCATCTTCACTACATCCAGTTTCTTGGATCATGATGGTGTTCACATTCCCGTTGCTTGTACTTCTAATTCTCTCATTATAAAACCCATTCGTCGACATACCCTCATCAGAAAACCCGATTCCTCGATCACCTAATCGTGTCTTATCCAAAGAGGAGAGCTTAAGACTTGGTCCCAAGCTAAAATTCTCAAACTCGGTGGCATCCCCAGACAAAAAGCTTCCCTTGAAAGAGCCGAATTCAGATTCCAACGAATCGTGAAATGGTCCTGTGGAGCTACACATACTTGGCGTTCCCAAAGCCGAATTCGCACTACAATACCGCTCAAACTCTGATTCGCCACATGAAGAGTAATGTAATGATGAGCCCGGAGAGGCATCGAGGCCGCTTTCCTCTAGAGAGGCGACTCTCGAGGATTCCTCTCCATTGATCATTTGAACCACAACCAAAATGAAAAAACCAAATCGACCCAGGCGAGAACAGTAATAGTCAAATCAATTCCAGACGAATTCGATCGTGTAGGTAACGAAACGGAGACGGATACTCACACCGATTGATGCAGATCCAAGCACACACCGAAATCACCAATCAGGAGAAGATTGATCGACCCAAGTACTTGAGAAAGAAGAAGCAATTGGGGGAACTGAGATTTACGTTGGAATCGTGCAACACAGAAGCTCGTAGATTAGTTTCGTCTTTGTGCTTCAAGCTTCTTCCTTGAAACTGAAAAATTTCGGGTGAAACAGAGACGAGGCATAAAGACAGGATTGGCAGCAACGATGACATTTTCTGAATATTTCTACAATTTCTGATAATTTAATTTAAAAGGAAAACTGTCAAAAAATACCTAAAATATTTAATTTTGTTAAAAAAATTACACAATTTTTTTGTGTTCGCCAAAAATTAATACAAACTATTTTTTTATCCATAGAAATACCTAATTTTTTTTATAATTATGAATCAAAAAAATAATTTATATAAGTTTCTGACAATGACAAAAAAATTGGTGTAGTTTTTTGACAAAAATTAAATACTTAAAATATTTTTGACTTTTTCTAATTTAAAATATTAAAAAATAGGTAAATATATCATAGTTTCGTGAAAGAAGAAGGATGATGATAACAAAAATTCTACAATTTGTCAATTTGATTACTGATTTTTTTTTGTTGGCATTTGATTATTGATATATCCTTAACTAAATAACTCACACATTCTCGACTTATTAAGCACTTGATTATAACTTCAAATTTGGTAAATCCATATTTGTTCAAAACTAAAAAACACTAAAAATGTATCAAAGTAACCCTCAAAAGCAAAATAATACCATGACGACTTCAAAGATTATTGATCAACCCATGGTAAGATTGAATACACAGATTATGACATTATTATTTGTATTCACTTCGAAGCAAAAATGGCTTCTAAATCTTTGTAAAGTCCTTTAGGCCTGGATTTGTAATCTGAAGATGACTCCTTAGAAGAGCTTCCACTTGTCTTTGTTCCCCAGATACTACTGCTCCAACCACTTTTGCTACCTGAAGGATCACTAGGATTGCTCCTGTCTCTCGTGAAGCTAGCCTTTGCCATTTCCCTAATCTGTCTCAGCCATGGCTTGTCCAAGCTACCTGAGCTTCGGCTTCCAGAAGAGTTTCTATACCTGTTAATATCTGGGGTCGAGAAAGCAACCCCTCCATTGCTGCTGCTTCTTCCTTCTAGCTGAGCCGCAGGGATCTTGTTCTTCATCATTTTCTGAGGCAGGATCAACGCGGCGAGTCCAATGATAAACATCTTGAGACCACTCAAGAACGATCTATTGATCTGGTCTAGCCGCTTCGTCTGTTTGTACAATGAGTACCATTCGTTGCACATCTGCGTAATGAACCCAATCAAGAACAATACGACCATGAAGATCCCGAGTTTCTTTCCGCTTGCCTCTGGAAAGTCTTTCGCCAAGAGCATCAGACACGAGGCCAATACACCGACTTGACATGCTATTGAGATGATCTCTACAAGCTGTACCTTTTTCTTGATGAAAGGCTTCTTCAGGACAAGGAAGAATAGCTGGAAAGAAGTGATGCTCAGCAAGACCACAATGGGAGTTTTCGCAGTCTCGTTATCCAAGAAAGCACCAGCGATGATCCCCAAACAGACCCTCTTCACGGTTTCGAGAAACGTGTAGTAAATTCTAAGGATCCCAAACAGTTTCTGTATGCAAGGAGCTTCAGCATCTTCTGTTTCATCATCTGATGCGATGATGCGGTCATCTCGTTGCTTGAGTGGATTGCTTCCTGAGATCTGTGTGAGCATGTACTTTGGTGGACCCCTTAAATCTTCGAATACCGGACCTAACCTAGTTAGATAGATAGAGTTCTGTTCTGTTTTCCATGTCCACTGGCCTCTTTTACCAGGGCCAAGTGTCACTCGGATGAGTTCTTGGTACCAGTGGAAACTCTGGCCTTCTTGGTGAATCTCTTTATACTGTAATAACTTCCCAAAAGTTATCCCAACCGAGAGGAAGAGAAACAATGCCAGGAGCAGAATAGCTACTACGCAAAGCACAAGGATACCAACAATGACACTGGCTTCTGCAGCTCCACTATGTTTAAAATAGCCTGAGAAAGATAGAATTCAGTGCAAGTGTTAACAGAGATTTGTTCAAACTAAACTGATAATTTCAAGGCCGGTATTAACAGTACCTTGTATGAGGCTCCTTGCAGCTTTGCAAATGGAGGGTAAGGCGAGAATGAGAAGAAACAGCTCGAATCTTGGGAAGACAAACGCACCGAAACTCCTCTTCTTCTCAGTGTGTGCTTTCTTGAACTTCAGTATCAGAGAGAAGAATATATGAAGTAGTACTAAACTGCCTCCGATTATAGCTATCCAAAACATGATCCTATTGAAATCTCTCCACCTACAAGAAAGAAGAACGGAATGATTCCTCTTAATTCAAATGTAATCAACTAATGCTGAAATGAAACGTGCATAAAAAGAAAGAAGTACAAACATGGATTGTAGTGACTTACACTGTTAAGTTCGGTAGACCAAGCACATGTTCTGCCTCTGGCTTAAGATTTGGGGTCTGTTAACACTCATACCGTATCAAAACATGAACAAAAAGGTACTAAAAAGAGAGTAGAAGCAAAAAAGAAGAAGTTGCTGGGATAAGAGTGATCCTTTTTACCTCAAAGAATAATCTGTACTCCATCGCAGTAAGTGGCAATCCGTATACTGACTCAGCGTTGGTTGTTGTCTGCAGATTAGTCCTGTTGTTGTCCGTCTTAGAAATGAAGGAATGTGGACCAATGTAAGGACTTGAAGCCACCATGATCTGTTCGTGGTGCTTAGTTTCCCATGGTAGAGGAAAATAAGGGATTATCCACTGAATGCCTCTCACAAATTCGTAGTAATCAACAGGCAATGTCACCGGTAGCCATCTCGAGAGTGCAAAAAACTGAATGTGACAGGCAGTTCTCTGCATTAAAACCACAATGCCGTTGATTAATTGTGTGGTTTGCAAGAAACAAAAGTAAGGCAATATATATAATGTATTGTTTATAAAAAGTGAAACTCATACGAAAAGATTCCTCGTGGGGTCTGATATCAGATAAGGAGATGGTCTTGGAAATGCTCCGAGAGAATAAAGGCTTGTGGTTGAAAGAGTGAGGAGTCCCGCAACGAAAGATGTCACCAAGAAAATGTAAGTTGATAACCAAGAAACCACAGAAGATATCACAGGCTCAGAATCTGCAATTAAGTACAACATTTGAAAATCATTGGCCGAAGGAGGAAGACAAAATTACGCTTGAAAACATATACAAAGTGGTTAAAATGCTTACAATGTTTCACTTCTAGAATGTTGGATGCGAGATTTTTGTTTCCTGCAACATCTTGAGTAACATTTTCAGCAATCTTAACAGAAATTTTGCTTGTGTTGGCTTTTACATATACAATGTATATGCTTCCACTCAGTTCCTCAAAGCTAGCATTAAGTGGAAAAACAAAAGAAGAGAAAAGTCCCAAGTAAAATCACTTAGCATCAAAACTATGGGAAAAAAAAATAAATCAAATCAAGAGGCTAGAACAAACACAAGACCACTAACCTATCAAGATATCCACCTGAGATCGATACAAATGAGGAGTTAAACCCAAAAACTGGCTTCATGAATTTTATCCAGACAGGGATGGTGTGCTTTCTTGTTCTCACACCAGATGTTGTGTTCAATAGAACATGAGGTCTCTCGGTATCTAACATCATGCACATACATGTTTCGTTCAAGGAGAGAAGCAAAATAAGACCTTTCGAAAACCAAATATAATCACTAACTCACCATAAAGAAAAGTCAGTGGTGCAGTTGGAGATGCAGGTGTCCCATGTCTGCTTCTTATTGAATTCGAGTCAAGTCTCACCGTGACTATAGCACGCCGTGATGTATTTGTGACCTGAAGAAAAAGTGTGTGAATGTTACATAAAGGGATCAACACGAACGATAGCACCAAATAACCTTGGGAAAAAAAAGCAGCAGAAGCACAAACCATAAACGCAAAACGGCGATTCTCGTTGGTTTTTCCATCAATAGGAAGCAAATCACCTTGGTTTGTGCTTAGTAGTCTAAGGATTTCAGCTGAAGAATTCAGTACCGGTTCCGAAAAATACAAGTAAACATTCAGCTTGTCGTTATCATTGGTTGCCTGCACCGTCCTAGTTTGGTTGTTTAGCTTCAGTAACTTCTCCGGGACATGAGTTCGAAGGTTGACAAAAACGTTTCTTCGATCTAGATGCCAAGAAAGTTGAATATCACTATCCCTTAAAGCTCTTAGTCTTAAACGAAACGAAGCGGATAGAAAAGGGTAAAGACACTTACCATAATGGACAAAGAAACGCGAACCCAAAGCTCTTTTAAAACTGTTACCAGCTGTATCAGAACAGAAACTCTTGTTCATCACCAACACAATCCTTCCATATTGAGCATCAGGAGATAATGCCACAAGTAATGAGTATCTGAGATATTTCTCAAGAACGGTGAATGAAGACGGTATAACTTGGCCAGCACCATAGACGAGAAGCTGTTACATAATTTTAAACCGTGTTAAGAGTACAGAACAAGAAGAGGAAAGCTCATTAAGATTGGGATGAATGTAAATAAGGCTACGTACTCACGTCGCAGGCATTCACAGATGAACATGTGAAACCTCCTCCACCAATACATGGCTCAGTAAAAGTAATATTAACAGACACGTTTTGTGCACTTGTAAATGGCATTGATGCAGTTACAAAGGCCGTAGGAGAAACCGTATCTGCATACACAATTTTGGAGCTTAAATAAGGAAAGAAAGTCTAAAATCCAACACATTCTAGCAATACAAGGACCAATTATAGTAATGGTTTTTATAAATGAAATGTGTATTCAGCCAAAGAGAGACATGAGGGAGGATACTGCGAGAAGCCACACAAACAAAACAACTCTGATCTATTTCAAACAAGAAAATTCCAGGAAGAGAATCAGAGAGGTGTAAGAGTTGTTTCTATACCAACAGCCCAGTTATAGATACTGCAGCCAAATCCAGGCATCCTATTTGCGCAGACCTCAAGTGTATGATTCCCGTCCAGCAACTTCGAGTAGGATACTTTTCTTCGATGGCAATCGACACTAAAGTGGTCATCTAGCTGCAGAGAACACATCATTTTTCCATCAATAGGAGTGACTTGTTCATCTATAATTACAACTTCATGAAGTTTGTTTAAATAATGAAAATCCTATCATGTCAAAACACAAAGTAGAAATCGAAAACTTCTTTTATTGGCAAAAGCTCTAGATCTCTTATACAGAACCAATATGTTTGGCCATTCAGAAAAGCTAAATAGGCAGTCAAGCCAAAATTCACTAAGCTATTACAAGTCTTGATTTGCAGACTTAGCACTCAAGTCCAAATTAGAATTGGAAAGCCTTGCAAGAAACGAAACATAGGAAATAAATTCAACCTTGCAACGGAATTTGCAGCTTGAGCAAGTTCTGTTTCCATCCTCAAACGCTTGAAAGGAAAATTTGGCTGAGTTAAATCTAGAAGTAGGAGGAGGTGCTTTCAAGAACTTAACAGAGAGCTTTGAACCATAACAGTGATGAAACCTTAAACAAAATGAGGAGACGACAACCCAGAAAAGCAAAAGAAGCCATGCACTTCGAAGCAGACCCATTTCTCAAAAAAAAAAAAATGAAGCTAAAACTCTCAAGCTCGAAACTCCTTACGATGCAATCATTAAGACAGGAAATAAATTTATAAGCGAAACAGAGCAATGGGCTTCACTGGGATTATTCTGGACAAAGTAGAAGAAGACATTGTAGAGATAATGAGTTGGTGAAGAGAAAAAGAGAGAGAGAGAGGTAGAGGATTAAAACAAAATGGGTTCTTGCTTCTGTGGTCTATGATGGCTGTGCAAGAGAGATAACGGATAGTGTATGCATGAGAGCGATGGGAGATACAGTGATTGGAAGATACATAGAGAGAGAGAGAGACTAATTCAAGAAACAGACAAACTCTTGAAGAATTTATTATTATTCCAGGAGTTGTCTCTTTTGCTGAATATATATTTTATTAAAACTTCAAAAACATTGGGAGAAGGAACTTGTAGTTTAATTTTCTACTAATATCTTATAAACATTTTGTCATGCACACAGAAATAAGCTTCTTCAGACAAGTCAGCACAACACACAACTACAAAAATGAAGACAAATCTTTAGATGAATTAAGGGCTATTTGGGGGGGTCAACAGTGCAAGAACTTGTTCCGTGAAGCTAAATGGTACAAGAAACCAACAAGAAGCATTGAAGTTTTCCTCCTGCTTAGTAATATTTCAATACACATGGGACCATAGTTTTCAGATCAATGATGGTACTTTCTGGGAGTTTCAAGTCTTACCTTTTCATGTGACCCAATCTTCTCCATACCTGAGCCTTCCTTTTACACCAAAAGGGATTATGCATTCAAACTGCCAAAATCGATTGAGTGTAGATCAACTTTAGGGTTCTGAAAAATGCAATTGGTTTGAAGACTTGATTTCACCTTTCAGTCCGGAGGAGAAGATAGAAAATCAGAATCCTCTGCAAAATTTGGTGTTTCCTTCGAGAGAGCAATGAGCAGCCCTGTCCCCATGGCGACTGGAGACACTCTTCTATGGCCGATTTCTCCGACGACGACAGCGACGGCGACTGAGCCAACCATCAGATTAACTGATTGAATACGACGTCGTTATCGTTATTGTTAGAATCTATGCAATTCTATTCGGGAAAAATGCCAAAAAATACATCATTTATTTAATTTTTGAAAAAATCACTCACGAAATTTTTTAGCGTTGTCAGAAACCCACATAAACTAATTTTTTAATACATAAAAATACATAAATTTTTTAAAGTTTCATTTTCTCTCCTCTGATTTCACGACCGTTAACATACATAACGGAATCAATAAACAGCGTTAATTTTTTGTAGAAAAAAATGCTAAAAAAATACATCAACTATTTAATTTTGCCAGAAATCCACACAAACTTTTTGTATTGCCAGAAATCCACACAGACTATTTTTTTAATCTATAAAAATACACAAACTTTTTAAAATTATATTTTCCCTCCTCAAATTCGATTCTGATAGTAATAGCTTGTAGGGTTGTAAGAACATCTCCAACCTAAACCTTTGAAGTTTTTTGTACTCCAATCCAACTCTTAAACTCTCAAATTTTGAGTTTTTGAATAGTAAAACCTCAAATTTGAGGATCTAAAGACCTTTAAAACATTGTTTACTTTATTTTTTAGTCCCTATAATTATATATCTTATCAGTAAACCTACCTTTTGTTTTTCTTTTCATTTTAATCCATACAATTAGATATCTTCTAAATGTAAAATGTATTTTTATAAATTTAAATATCATTAAAAAAAATCAAATAAATACTTAAAATTTAATATTAAAATTACCACTATAAAAGATATATTAAATGACATTATTATAAATAAACATAATAAAAATACATCAAAATACACAAAAGAAATCAACACAAAAAAACTAAAATTGCGTAAACACATAAATATTACACAAAATAAACCATACTACAATTTTAATAATCTGGTAAATACATAAGAAATATATTTTATATTTATTTATGAAAGTTTTATCATTATAGTTAATTATTATGAAAATTAAGGACCATAATGTAAAATATAAAATTTCTTTAAAATAAATTTGAGGTTTTACCATTGGAGTAATGCATCCTCAAACTCTCATTTTAGAGATTTATCACCCTTAAAATAAAGGTCTGGTTAGAGATGCTCTTAGCAGTCACTGATATCGTGAAAAAGGCGCGTGTTGTTAAGGATTAGATAATTTTTTCAGCTTAGAAAAGTTTACTGGAAATTCATGGTTTTCATTAAAAAAAACTGTTAAATTTATTTAATTAAAAGATAATTAAAGAGATAATAACACATTTTGAGATATTTTAAGAGAGAACAAATTAATCACTATGAATTAGTTAAAGGATTGTAAAGAATAAAAAATAATTAGCAAATTCAACTTTATTGAGTTAAAAAACTGCGATACCCACTGCATTATTATTTACTTGAACTTTATATTAAAATTTTGAATTTATTGAAAAATTTAGTCTGTTAGATAAAAAAAATAGTATTCATTTAAAGAGGTTTAACTATTTAATTCATCAAACAAAATTTTCAAAACACTATGGATATCCTTTTTATAGTCACTAGGAGATACTCCGTGCTATGCACGGATCTTGTTTTACTTATGTTTTTAATTTTCTAATTCAATTATCAAATTCTTTTTATAATTTCCTTAATATTTTTTATGACCCTAATAATCTTTTCTATCTATTATTTTTTAAAATTTTTCATTGAAATCTCAATCTAGCAATCTCAAAACTTGTTCTTCGGTTGTTTGAAATTTTTAACCTTTTTATTTTATTTTATAACTTATTTTTTCGATCATTTTTACTTTTTGCAGTTTACCATATTCATGTTCTGTTTTCACATATTTCATTGATTCTATTTATTTGTGATCATACTCTTTTTTTTTCTGTTTTGTCATTTTTCTCTTTATTTTTGTTAATTTGTTATTTTTTTATTGTTAATGAATGTTCTTTTTTTGTTTTGTGGTTTTCTAACTCTAAAAACCTTGTTCTTCATTTGTTTGAAATTTTCTTAATCTATTATTCTCATTTTTGGTTTCATTACTTATCTTTTTTCTTTACTTTTTTTTATAAATAAATTATTTTTGTTAATTAAAAAGTATAAATAAATCACATAGAAAAAAAGAGTAGACAAAACTAAAATCTCAAATAGTTTTTGTTTTATACATTGTGATATTTAATTTAAATTTAAATTTAAATTTAGTTTATATTATTCTGATGATTTAATATTTTAAACATAATAAAAATTAGATTAAATTTTGTTTATACATTAATAATATAAATAATTTTTTGGGATCGGTGTCACTCTATTCAGTGTTGATGTGTCACTCAACTGGAGAGAGTTGAGCAACTTTTATATATAAGATTATGGTAAAATATTTTGAAGAATCTTTTCAATATAGAAAACTCTCTGCAAATCTAACAAAACTCTTTGAAAATATCAAATATCTAAATTTTTAAAATCAATCAAATATTCATTAATCCAACTCCCACAAAACCATTTTTAGTGATTGAATAATATAAAAAGAGTATTTTTATTTTAATTTGCAAGCCAAAATATTGGATGTTTGTATATTATGACTGTGTTTTTTTTTCTTAAAATTTCATTTTGGTTTATATGAAGATATATATTTTAATTTATAAATTATTATATTCATTATAATAAGATTTTACTTATTTTCTGTAAAATCAAACATATATTATAATTTTATATGATTTATTTCTTCTTTTTCCCCTAAATTTGTGTCTTTTTGGCAAGTTAACTTTCTATACAATATTATGTGTGTGAAGCAGGATATTTTTGTAAAAAAAAAATCCAGTACTTGGATACTTCAAATGTACAAAATACTTTTTTGGAATTTTAAAACAATACATGAATTGGTATTTCTTTTCAATAAAATAATAATAAAACTATAAAGTTCAAAAATAGCTACTTTAATATCAATTAGATTTTAGGTTTTCTTTATATTTAAATTTTGATTTCTTTCTGTAAATATTACACCAGTCCCAGGTACAATAACTCAATATTCATTGAAAAACTTATAGTATCTTTATTATATTTTCAAAAGATTTTCTGAATGTTGGTATATTATCTTCTTAAAATATTCAATTTGGTATTAGAATATATATTTCATTTTATTTCATAATGTTTATGAGATTTATGAGATTTACGAGATACGACTATAAATAAAGGATTATTCACTGTATTATTAAGTTAATGACACATAAAAAATTAATAATTAAAAAAAAAAAGAGATGGGGATGATGAAAGTGATAATGATGATGGTGTTAGTTGGAATCCTAATAGGAGAGGTCAAGACTCAGTCAGGTGAGGATTGTGTGAGACGTTGTCAGGATGTGTGCTCGACCAATCTGGATCCAAATTGCGTCCCCAATTGCATTTCACTTAAATGTCCTCATTTTTTACCTACCAATATTCATCATTCTAAGTAAATATACACTCTCACCCTCAACTTTTTTTCTACTTTTTCTTATGAGAGTACATATGTGTGTTTCATAATTGTTTTGTAATAAATAGTTTGACATGGTTGTTTTTTCTGGCTATTAACAGGATGAAGGCTACATACAATAATGAAATCAGAGGATAAAATTGTTATCAACTTTTGAACCTAAAACAAAGCTATCGTTAAAGATCAATTAATAGAAATACAGTTTCAATAAATTAATAATGTTGGGATTGTAATATTCTATTAATTTGTAGAATTATTAATTTATCGATATAAAAATCAGTTTAAAAAACTAATTTGGAACTTACAAAATATATTAATTTATCAAATATTAATTTATAAAAACTATACTGTATATACATTGTTAAATAGCTTGTTTGAATAAACTAAATAAAAAGTTTACAAATAATCAAAGTGGAACCAAGAACCAAAAGCGAAGAGAGAGCAATAAATTTTTAAAAAAGATTTTGGCAAATATAACTGCTATTTTTATTTGATTAATGGTCTATTTTTAATTGACGACAAAACAATAATTTTAATTGAAAGAAAAAAAGTAACTCTTGACAAAAAAAAAACTCCAATGGCTTATATAATTTATAAATCAAATATAACTGCAATCAAGATTTAGGTTTTTAACATCTTTCGGTTTTGATAAAATAAAAAATAAAAATAAATTTTAGGTAACTATCCAAGGTTTTGTGATCAAGTGATAAAGAGACAGGCTTGGAACGCAACACGTTTCAAATTCGATTTATCTGCTATGCGAAATTAAAACATATTATTCTTGGATACCTAAATATATATAGATTATTGCTTATTTTTGGACACCTACATAGATATGGATCTTTTCTTTTGGCCTATTTGAATACCTAAAAAGAGAATTTATTCCTAGACTGCAACTCTTTCAGGGATTAGTCTGAATCCTTCCATAAGCCTGAAATCATATATAATATACATAAAGTAAATTTTTGCTTTTTAGCTCTCTCGTTAATTCTGAGTGTAATTAATTATCATCATATCCTTTTTAAAAAATCGATATTAGCGTTTAACTTTGTTTAAATGAAGTTTTACTTAAATTAATAATTTTTCGGTTATTATTTTTCTACTCGGTTTAAACACCTGTTTATCCTGAGTTTTAAAAAAAAAAAATAGGTAAACTAAAAACTAGAAAAAAAAAATCTACACTGTCTTAGAATACCCCAATGAGGATATAGTAGTTATGAACCCAATATATCCAATACATTTCGGCCTAGTAATAAAACTGTGTCGTTTCAAGTTCTTCTCCTCACGAGGAAAATCGTTGTGAAGCTTTTCGAAACTCGAATCAAATGGCGGGCTAAACCTCTTTCTCTGTATCTCTCTATTTGGCGATGGAATCGATTGGCGAAATCGGAGGTGGAGATACAACGAAGAAGACTACTATGGCGTCTCTGGGACTCATGTGTGAGAAAGATATGAATGAGCAGCGGATTAAAATCGATTCCTTCATCGCTTCTCCGTTCCAGAGATCGATGGACTCTGTACTGGAGCGAGCTAAAGCCACTGCACAAAGCCAAGGTTAGGTCAAAATTCGCATAATACGATTCAGTTCCTTATGACCCAAATCGTTAATTTTTTGGGTAATTTTATTGGGTTTAGGTTCTGTCTCTGTGAAAATTAGGGTTTTGATGAGAATCAGAGTGGTGAAATTGAGCGGTTTCTGTGATATTTGTCTCTGATTTTTATAGTGGAACTAGCGAATATGAAAGCGCAGCTGAGAGAAGCAGAGGATGAGCTCGTTAAAGTGTTAACAGGTATCAGCTTCACTTCCATCACCCAAAAAGCTTTAAACTTTGAACATTTTTTTCTGAATCTGGAAACGATTTCCTGCTTGAGGCTCTAAAGTGGATTCTTGAGATTCTAAACTTCTCCGGCTTCTTAAATAAGATGTTCAAACATAAGATTCTCATTGAAAATGTATCTCCTTGCTTGGTGTTGTTTTTGCTTGTTAGAGAGTAGTATCATTTTTTTGCTTGGCTTGGATATCTTGCGCTTTAAGATCTTTCGATCATTTTATATTAATTTTGATGTTTAGAGAAGACACGTAAAGAGGCAAGGCAAATGGGGTTAAGGGATTCCATTTCTGCCACACAATCTCGAATCGAAGTGCTTAGAAGAACTCTGCAGTTACAGAAGTCAAAGAGGGAAGAACATGCCAAAGTTATCTCCCAACAATTGCAAGGTATTGTTAGCTTGCCTGACTGATTTCATCACTGTGTAGTATACATCGTAGTTTTCATGAGTCAGTTTTACTTTGATTTGGGTTCTTGGTTCTAATTTGATTTTTGATGTGATGCCTAGTTAGTTACTTTGTAAAGTGTTGATCTATGAAAAAAGTTACTCTGCTTGTTTCAGTTTTACTTTGAGATCATGAGTCACTGAAGAACAAGCTAATATATTTATTTTCTCTTCTTGTCCAATAAAGCCTTATCGGTATCCAAGGAAAATGCTGGTAAAGTCACAGAAGAGAAAGGAGATATACAAGAAGCCATCTCTTGGTATAATCAAGCTCTCGGTTTTCACGTTGAAGCTGGACACGGTAATGGGAGAAACTTTTGAGTTAAGAACAATCATAGCTCTTTATTATTAAAGTTTTGACCATAAAAGATATTGTGGTTTTACTTCTCTCACAGGAGTTAAATTCACATTCATCAACATTGATGCAAAAAGGCCTACAAGCGAATTTTCATTCACAGTCCACTACGGAAATGACATCTACACACGTGAGTATATTTAGCTTATTGAAGCGAGCATCAACTACATTTTAGTGTTTACAGAGAGTCTAGTAACATGAACTGTGTACAATCTTTGTCTTATATGATCATCAGTTTTGGATTGCAACCCGCAATTAGATGACATCGAAGAGATGGTTCAACAATTGAATAAAACCAATGAACTTTTCGGATTTATTCGTCTGATGAGGGATAAGTTTCTTAAAGCCACCTTATCTGGTAAATAGACTGACTCTCACTCTTATCCTTTAGACCCTTTTATCACTAAAAACCAGACATCTAGTTTTCGATGTATATAAGCTGAATTTGACAGAGACTTGTGTCTTTATTTGACTTCTCAGAGTTGCCAACAAATTCAGAAAATCCGCAACAGGATACCTCTACCATATCTGCTTCAGCTCCAGCTATCACTGAAACAAGCATGTCAACTCCAGAGAACAAAGGATCTAAGGTTCAAGTGAATCGGCGACACAAAAGATCTAGCGATTCTCCACTCCCGTCTCCTGCACCCACGTCTTCTGCTCGCCGTTCTTCTCGCCTTAAGGTACAGGATACTCATTGTGTTCTTATTATTGCGCCAAACCAGATTCAAGTCTTTCCTAGATATTATACTTTTCAAGAGTAGGATACTGGAACCTATATTCATAACTCGTGGACATATATATAACTGATCACGTGGAACATAAACTTTTATACTGATTTTTACTTGTTACAGGCTAAGAAATGAAGGTGGAGCATAAATCTTGAGGACCTCACATGGGAGGAGATAACTGAATGATTTTTACAGCTTCTGTGACTTGGCTGATTGATGGCGTGTATTACTTGTGGTTGTCTTAGTAATGTGTTCCTATAATTGAAGGTCGAGGAATGCCAACGAGGATTAGTAAGCTAATGATTGTGGTAAACTATGAAGAAGTAACTAGGCAACTCATCAAAGAAAATGGTATTAGGAGGTTATTTTGGTCAAACATAAGACCATATCTTTTTTGGATCAAAATTAAGACCATATTTAAAGAAATGAATTTAAGAACCAACTACGTAAGCTGTCTCAGTTTTTTTTTTTTTTTTTTTGTGTGGGGTAATTTAACGGATTTGGGAAGAACAGTTGGGAACAAAACTTGAAGTGTCTGAAGTCGAAGTACAGACGAGTCTTTATGTAATAAAAAGAGTCTTTATGTAATAAAGAGATGGTATCTTCCGATAAACAAAATGGGAATTTGCAGAATTTAATATAATTTTATAAGAGTTTTACTCAAGGGCAAAAGATGATCCTATGGTGATTTGTTTCGATGATGTTCCTCCGAGTGCGTCTTTATAAGAGAGTTGCTCGTAGTGTTTTCTTTGCTGCGAAAACCACCAAAATGAAAACTCAACGAGAGACGAGAGAACAATCCATGATGATGAAATCAGAGGAGGAGGAGCAGTACCTTTATGTTCACAGAGGGTGCGACTAAGGACAAGGCTTGCTCGAAATGAGCCATCTTGATGGTACACTCACTTGAATCTGTAGTAATATCATCATCTTCAATGGACCTGAATTTCTCTTCCACTGCCACGTGTATAGCTTTGTCCACCTTCCATTTCATATAAATTCAAAGCAGGTACCATTAGCATCATCATCCACATTACAGAGCATGGGTGGTCTCATGCATGATTCAAGTCAAGAAACGTTAGATTACCAAGTTAGCAAGATCAGCTCCACTGAAATCTTGGCACTTCATCTTCGCAATGGCATCCAGATCAACACTTGGATCTATGGGCTTCTTCTTTGCATTAGCTTTTAGAATTGAAGCACGCCCATCTGCGTCAGGGAGGGGTACGTACACAATATTCCCAAACCTACCTGGTCTCAAGAAAGCTGGGTCAACTGCTTCTGGCCTGTTTGTAGCTCCAATTACAAACACATTACGCCTCTCTCCACCATCCAGCTCAGCAAGAAACTGTTGAACCAATGAACCATCCAAATCCAAATTTACTTTACGGTTGTTGCAGCATTCAATACAACGAAGGAAGGAAAGCCCTTTTATTACCTGATTCGAAAGTCGATCAACAACAGAATCACCTTCTTTGCCACGGCGTGGCGTCAAAGCATCCACCTGAACTTCAAAAAAACACATTACTCACGTATAAGAATCAGACAGCTCTTACACTGCTGCATAGTTTTTGGAGAAGAATCATTCTTAAGAATTATACGTGTGTGCGTTCTAGCCAGACTAAGACTGTCAAACACAAACCTCATCGAAGAAGAGTATACATGGCGAGCATGTCCGGGCGCGCTGGAACAAATTCCGAATAGCACGCTCGCTTTCACCAACGTATTTATTTAGCATTTCTGCACCCTGAAAGCCAAACGATACAAGATATCACATTATTCTAGACTATTCATTCATATGCAAAGCAAAATTCCAGTATATCAGACGTGAGAGTCAAACCTTGATATATATGAAATTAGCTCCTGCCTCGTTTGCAACTGCCTTTAAAACCAACGTCTTGCCACAACCCGGTGGTCCATAGAGCAAAAATCCTGTCTCTAAGTTTGCCCCGAAAGCCTAAAAAGATCCAAAGAGAAGCTCTTTCAGACTTCAATAAAATAAGGCAAGTAACAACGGCGTCAAGTGTTTTTATTACCTACCTTATAAATCTCAGGGTTTTTGATAGGTCTGACAATGTAATTGCGGAGTTCACGCCGTAGATGGTCAAGTCCACCAACATCGTCCCATTTGACATTGGGAACTGTAGAGAAACCTTCTCTAGTTAAAGATCCCTGAACTAACTTCACTGCTTCCTGGTAGGAAGGAAAAAAAAAAGAAACGAGTTTCGGAGTAACTAAAGGGCAAAACTTTTGTCACCATTGAAGTAAGAGAAAAGTAGACTCATATCAATCAGGCAACACACCTCGAAATCAGACATTTTGACAACCAGTGTTTCCAACTCTTCTTCCAGCCAGGGCCGCCTGAGCCAAGAAATATCATCTTCGGAGTCGCCGGAAAGTTGTTCCGATCTTCTTGCATCCATGATCCTCTGTATGGCTATCCTGCCAGCCTTGTTAGCAAGGCCTACCAAATCAGCTCCGACAAAACCTGGTGTTAAACGAGCTATTCTTTTCATGTCAAAGGGAGCTTCTAGACAAAGTTTTTGAGCTACAACAGAGAGTATCTCAGCCCTTGCATCTTCATCTGGAACGCTTAGAGCAATCTCACACTCAAATCTCCCACTCCTCCTGAGAGCAGGATCAAGAGCATCAGGCCTATTTGTAGCTCCAATGACGAGAACAAAGCCAGCACTGGAATCAGGATCGCCCTTGTTACCAGGCCCATCCATACAAGTCAATAGTTGCGCTACTATCCGCTTCTCCATCTCCCTTTGCTGGTCTTCTCTCTTTGATCCAATGGCATCAATCTCATCGATAAACACAATCGAAGGCGCAGTCCTATAAGCTTTAGAGAAGAGCTCTCTAATATTCTCTTCCGAAGCACCTTAGAGGAAAATTATCAAACTGTTGTATTAGCACAACAGAGAGAGCAAAATGAACAAAATATGGGATATGCTGATTCAATTACCGGAAACACCAGAGACCACTTCTGTGGCTGAAATCTGATAAAACGGAACACCAGCTTCATTGGCTAGAGCGTTGGCCAACATGGTCTTTCCACAACCAGGTGGTCCATGGAATAGAATCCCGCTTAGTGGCTTCACTCCCAACTTCTTAAATGGTGCGGGATTGAAAATCGGGTACAGAATATTCATCTTCATTTCATCCAACACTTTGTTTATCCCACCAAAATCTTTAAATGTAGGTCCTTTATTACCCAAATCGCCATTACCAGTAGTAGTAGTTCCACTCACGGAAGGAGAGGCTTTAGCCGACCCCATCTTGCTTCTACGTTTGTTGGTCACAGTCTCAACTTCGACATTCTTTTCCACAGGCGAAGAAGAAGACCCAATTGGAATTGATTTACTGTTCATCTTGGTGTACTTATCTCGTAGAGTGTCCTTTGTCATATCAAACCTCGGACTCAGATTCTCGCTGTAAATCGCGTCCTCGGAGGTCGACACATCGCCGTCACTGTCTTCCGACGTGGAACAAGACACCGACGATCGCTCCTTGTTTCTCCTCCTGAGATGCGACTGCTCCGCTAGCTGCAACTTCTCCTCTTTCTCATCAACCCGTCTCTGCTTCTTCCTCCTCTTAGCAGCAGCTTCTTCACCGTCATTTTCTTCTTCGTCTTTAACCCGCTTCTTTTCTCTGACATTACGGATCTTTGCGACGTTGAGCAGAAGCACTTGCCGTTTCAACCTCTTATAACAACTGTACCTGGAACGGAGATCATCGACAATTTCCTCCGCCGTATCTAAATTCTTCCCGCACGAATCCATAGCTTGACTCAGAGAAATCCTTCCTCCGCCCATACCGCCGCCGCGACCTCCCTTCCCCATCGTATTGGGCTTCAATCGTGGAACTCTGAATCACCGACAGACGCGCAGGAGAGCTTCGGCAAAGCTTGGCTGAAAAAAGCCCTAATTTTGAGGGTTTAGTCGGATTAAATTATATTTTCGGGGGTAATAGTTGGATATTTGAAAAATACTGTACAGAAATCTGTTTAAATTTTAAAACCGAATTAAACCAGAATTTTTTTAGAACAAATTGCTAAAATCGTATTCCGGTCATAATACCGAAATAAATTACATTATTGATGAATGGAATACATTATAAAAATATGTTCAACATAAGACAGATGGTTATTTAATCAAATTGATTTTGTTGATTGGCAACCTTAATATGCTAATCTAACTAAACTATTGTCAAAATATATATATATATATATATATATAATCTAACTAAACTAATGCTTCTCTTACATGGATACTTACAAATTAGAAAAGCTCAACAACAATCCAAGGAACAGTGTATACCCTCTTAGTTACACATTTTGTAGTTTATTTATACTCCATTATTTTTTTATATATCTACTAATTTATATTACATAACTAAACAAAAGTGATTTAAAAAAAAAATATAATACAATTTTGTTTCTAAATTTTTAGTCCACCAAGTGTAAAACTATGAAGAACTAACTAGGCATCACATTAAAGTAAATGGTATTAACCAATTAGGAGGGTTTTTTTGGTCAAACATAAGACCATATCTTTTTTGGGGTCAAAATTAAGACTATATTTAATGAAATAAATTTAAGAATGAACTACGCACAAGTCACTAATTTCATGTATATATACTTTCAAATTTCTTAATGAACATATACACACAAAATACAAATAAAACTTAGAAAGATGATTATAAAGAATAGTATTGTATTAATGATGGTGGTGGCAGTAATTGTAGTGACCATGGTAGGAGAAATAGATGGACTTTCATGCATGGGTAAGTGTTTGTTCGTGTGTGGACTTACCTTTCAAGATCAAAAAGCCTGCGAAATAAAATGTCAGCACAAATGCCACATACCACCTAGTCGCCCATCTCAATCATCACAGTTAGTAATAATCTCTTCATTTGTTTTATTGAATTTAGTTACTTTTTTGGTGTTTGTGTTTAAATAGTAAACTATTGTAGTTGTCTCTAAGAGATTATTCCATCAAACGGTTTTTGATAATATAACATAAGCGATTATATATGTTTTTTGTTTATGCGGAAATATTTGCTAAATGAAGTTGTTATGGGTATTGAAAACTTGAATATTTGCATTTAAAACAATCATATTCAAATGCATGTATTTTATTGTGTTGTGGGTATAGAAAAATTAACATAATTTATATGGAAAAATTGCAGGAAGGAGACTATGAGAATGAAAAATATGATAGGGTAGCTATGTCCATAAAACAGTTGTTCTATTTGTAAGCTCGTTAAAGTTATTATTTCAATAAAAAAAAGGTTATGTGCAAAATACAATCCTACAGATGATAATTTATATGTATTGTAAAACCAGTAGAATGGATACACAAGCAAATACTCAGGTTCTGCCTTTTATTAGGAATCACTTAAACAATCTTCTCAAGATTTGTTTAATCAGAATTATACAACTTTGCACCAAGCAAACTGATACTGACCAATTCCTAACTACCCAACACAACAACAGTTGTGTAACTCTAAAACCTAATCACTCACCAAGAACCCCAAACTCTCCACCGTTTTGCTTCTTGTGCTGATTTCAATATCTCTAAAACGGCTAACCCTAACCCTTAGAGCTAACCCCGTATATATACCACCACACTTGGATAAGTGGTGAATATCTACTTTCCTTAGTTGAGATCTTCACAATCTCCACAGAATCTTCTACAAGACTCCTTCTTGTACATCAAGTAATGCTCATTCATCTTCCAATCCCATCATGCCAAGTCAGCTTCTCGAAATTTTTCTTTTCCACGTCAGCTTCATGTCAGCAGCGCCAAGACTCCAAACCATGGATCTTACAATCTCCCCCTTTTTGTCTGAACATGTCACCTCAAGCAACCTGAAAGCAAATCCAAAACACAAACACACACACGACCAAATGCCAACACAATATCTGCTTAAGATAAGACAAACTCCCGTGCATTGCATAGATATTAAGTTCTGACATCAAAAGACCAGAAAACGAAACTGACACATCACAACCATTGTTCACAAGACCATGCAAACTCCTAGAAAGAAAAGTACAAAAGACATCTAATCTCCCTACAGCATATCATCCTTAATCCTCAATCCTCATCATCGCCATCAGACGAGTACTCCCCCTGACTTCGTGACCCCGCAGGAACATCCGTGGTCTCCGTGGGTTCATATTCTCCTCCTGCTTGAGGGCATGGTCAGCACAAAAAAAAAATCCAATGAGGAAAGAGGACCGAGAGAATGGTGACACTTACCTTTAAGGCGAAGTTGAATCCTTTTGAGTCAGCGAGCAAGTTGGTCCAGATCGGCCTCTAATGTCGGAAGAGCGGCAGGTTCGTCATCACCAGATCCTTTACCAGCCTTCGGATCAAGAGTCATACGGGCAGGAAATCCTTGAATAGGGCGATCACCACGATGACTTGGAATAACCCGTTGGAACTGCAGCAGCTGATGGATGAGGTTTGGAAACAGCAACTTGTTGTTCATCATGTCCGGAGTGCGTGCAATCGCCAGGATTTGATCATAGACAAGTTGACCAAAGTTGAACTGATGACCCTTGATGAGAGAAGCAACCAACTTGACCCGATCTTTCACCATAGTCGTTTTGTTAGAGGTTGGAATCCAGTTTCCACAACACAACTTGTAAAGTACACCATAGTCTGGCTGAAGATGTCGAGATGCAAACCCCTCCCATCTGTGCTTGCGCCCACCAGAGACAATGTTCACCGCCTGATCAATGTTCATTTTGTCCCATTCGCCTGAGGGTAGAGACTCATCCAAACGAAACATGCGATTAATGACATCCGGCGTGAATTCGAACATCAGGCCACGAATGTAAATGAGGTTGGTGCCAGCCCGATATTCAAGATCCGGAAGATTCGCATAGAACTCCCAGACAACATTGGGACAGTAGGGATCCACATCAAGCACAGTATAAATCAACTCACAACGATCCAAAATCTTCCTCACTTTAAGCAACTTGAAGTCATCCAAAGGGAGAAATTTTTGATCATGAAAAGCACGAAGACAGAGAGAGTCATATCTGTCTTTGGCAGCAGCGGAAGTGAAATTGTCTCGCTTGGGTTGGAGAGGACGAGTGAGATGTGGTTGCATGCGATCTTGCTCAAGCACACCTTGTCGATTTGCCCGGTAGCGAGTGTCCTGGTCCAGATACGAGTGAGGTGGACCTTCGCGATCATCGACAAACTCATCGAGCATCTCATCATCACTCGATGGAGCAAAGGGGTTGGAGAAGAGCTCCGCGGGATCTTCAAAGTAGGCAGCCGGATCGGAGGAATCGCTGAGGCTATCTTCGTCAGAGATGACAACATGATCTTTGCCATGGCGTTTGTTGGTGTGCTTCTGCTGCTTGCGGCGACGAAGGGCAGAGGCCAATGTCTCATCGTCATCAGGTTCTCGGCGAGAGGCAGCCATTGCGGAAGCCATGAGCTTGGTCGCCTGAAGTCTGGTAGTGCGCGGCATGAGGAGGTGCGGAGGATAGCAGCAGCAGGAGAGATGGGTGCGTCACACACTTTAGGGTTTAGTGGCACACAAAACGTCAGCCTGCACATATAACCAAGCGGGAAACACCAAAACAGGCCTAAACTAGGCCAAAAGTGAGATGCTGATGTACGATAAAGCCCAATAGACCCAATAACACAAAGGCAATTTAATCAAAACACAGCACAACCATAACACAGTTCAGCACAAGTATAGCACACATAGGATTTTTGGCACAAAGGAAGGACTGAGATGCGGACCCCATGTACATTGGAAACACTGTAGACAAATGAACACCAGAACACTTCACATACTTTACAGAGCGGACAATGTGTGCAAAAGGACTAAAGTGACTGTGACTAAGGGAAAATTCCACACAAAAATGACGATCAGATCAACTTGAGTACCTCAACAGTGCAGCCAGTCCCTTAGCCAAGGTGCTTTCACACTGTTGGTCCTTGTCACAGATTCTCACAGAGTTCGTCAGTGTGAGACAGTAAATTGCACTGGATTGTCCGAGAAGTACCTTTGAGGATGAGATCAGAGTGACTACTTCTTCTACAGACAAAGATGATCATACAGCATGGTCAATGCAGAAACTCGGTGCACTTATCCACTTCCAAGATTTTGTGCTGCATACCCTCAGCTGAGGAGCATTCACACAGACGATTCGTTCATGATCCTTATTGAATGTGTTATGTTTCTTTTAAGGAAGTGGATCGCATATTTTGTGAGTTCTGCAGACCTCATTGCCAGTTATTTGTGCTGCGTACCCTCATCTGAGGAGCATTCACACACACCCAACACGAAAATGGCTACTGTAGACACTGATCATCAGACTCTAAACTCAACCTCAGAGGCTCCTTAATCCAATCATGTCAGTGATCAGAACCAGACTTGAAATGTTGCTGCATCCCAATCCAGCCTGAGTGAAAATCATGTTGGAGAGTGAGATTCTATCCCACGAACTGATGGTCGCCATGATACTCCTGAACAAAGACTGGTTCTCAAGCGTTTTAACAAAACATTGATACACACCCTAAAGTAACAGCCACTCATCGCATTGCACACAAAAGAGTTTACAGTTCACAAATACCCAACGCCTTTCTCAGATACAAGAAGGCATTGAGGTCAAGAGTTTGGTGAAAATGTCTGCAAGTTGGTGTTCAGATGCAACATGTTTGATAATGACAAGTTTTTCCTCAACTAAGTCCCTAACAAAGTGATGCCTAATGTCCACATGTTTAGTGCGTGAGTGCTGAACTGGATTTTTGGTGAGATCAATTGCACTTTTATTATCACAATGGACAAGAAAGGGATCATTATGAATACCGTAATCAGCAAGCATCTGACGCATCCATAGGAGCTGTGTGCAACAGCTCCCAAGTGCTACATATTCAGCCTCTGCTGTCG